TATATATATATATATATATATATATATATATATATATATATATATATTAAAGCTACACAGAAAATATTTCTGGGCATCAGCTTCTATTTCCTTTAAGGGATGAGAGAATGTTCCTGAAATTGTTCGATTTAATTTAACATTAAATAAAAATGTGAAAGGCTAGGGTGCATTAATAAGATGATCCATCTGCTTATAATAATAGGATAATTCACATCTTCACTGTCAGAGCAGACAGCCTCCAATCGGGTCAATCATTAAACTCAATGTGTTTCATTCTTTGGTGCTGTCTCTCTTAGAACCTCAGTGCCACTCATCTGCTCTTCTTTTCCACTATGCACCTATATTGCAAATTTAGTTCCATTAGGTAGATGCTTGCACTATTATGAAGCCTGATTCTATCATTTTCAAAGTGCCAAGCCATTTAAATCCAGTGCAATCTTTGGTCATATTTAATCCAAACATTTACACACATCCAGCTCGTTCTTATCTTTTTAAATAGGATGCAGGGCTTATTTTTAAATTACATCCCCATTCATGCTCTATAAAAGCACCAAAAAAAAAAACTGTCCATGAGATTTAAATTCTGGTCCACAGGTGCTGCTTCCAATTCCTGGCATGCCCATTAAATCCTAGCCCCAGCCTAATTCTTGGCATGACACTCGTGTAGTGGCAGAAAAGAGAAAATGCAAACAGCCATTTTTCTCCTCTCCCAGAAATAATCCTACACTGAAGTGCACTGTAGCTTTTGCCTTCTCTATTTAGACCTAATTCAAAGAGCATTTTTAAATAAGGTTACCCAGAAAAGACAGCAGTGGAAGTTAGGGTGCTTGAAATGAGGCAAGCACTTATCCAAACCTGAGGTGTGCGTGATTTCTTTCACCACGTGGGGTCAATTAAGTATGCGTCTATCTGGGAGAGATTTCTGTTGATACAATGAGTCATACCATGACTTGGGTGCTCTGACTAATACCAACATATCCCAACAGTCTTGAATCAGCCATCCATGCTTCCCTCAAACCCTTGGTACTGTCTTCTCCAGATTCCCCCTCCTATTGATGTCTAGTATCAGCTATTCAATCCAGCCGTATAGCAAATGCACAGACGCCCTGAAGATACAATGTTCTAGTTTTCTTTCTTCCATTGCTCTGCAGATATGGGCACAGTAAGAAATGTCTCTTGTCAATTTGGAAAAGCAGTCAGGCCAAACTACTTCTTGCTTAAACAAACAACTTGGTCTCAACCTATCTTGTCTTGTTCTGTACACACACACACACAAAAAAAAATCCTAACAGTGCAGCGGGGGCTGCAGGGGAGTCTGTGTGAGATCCCCAAGTGATCAAAACTGTGCAATTGTCCTGGGTGCACTTCTTTGATAGGCTGCCATTTGTTTCCACTCACCTAGAGAGCTTGTAGATAGCCTGAGAGGTTTGTGTGCGTGTGTGCGTTTTAACAAATTTTCAAAAGTTGCCATGGGGAGAGAAGAGAAAGAAAGCCCTTCAAAAAGAAAATTATTTTCACAACATCATCACCAGAAAAACACCCCCGCGACGGATATCTTTGAAGGTCGACTGCAATCTGAACTAATTGGGGAGGGGTGGGGAGAGCTTTCAGATTTGCTCACCTTTTATAATGGGTCTCAGAGAAGTGATCTGCAGCCAAACGCTTCCTGCAATGAGTGGTTTGGGCACTTTCTCAGCAAAAGGAAAGGCTCCTCCAGCTTCTTGTTCATGTCACTGAGAGAGGTCACCACCTTCCCTCTTTTACTTGCCACTTCTGATTATTGGGTAGGTTCGCTCCAAAAGTCATCTTTTGTTGCGAGGACATTAATCTTCTCCCCAGTGTTGAAATGCTTGGTAAGAAGGAGGGGGTGGAAGCGGGAAGCCTGTTCTCAAAAGCCTCAAGATCACAGCTGAAGAGCATTATTTATAGACCTTTACTGAAAATCAGCTTCAATCTGTGTTGAATGTACTACATTAAACCAATAACAGACAACAAGCTTGTGAATATTTGGCATGATGATGAAATGGGCCGCAGCCCTTCCGCCGTGGGAAGGGAGGGAGCACGATCGAGGGAGGGCTGTTGCTCCTCCTTGGAGGGTGTCTGTTGTGATTGCGAGCTGGTTTCCACAGATCCTGGCTGAACATTATGCCATTAAACAGTATGAAAGAAAATCAAAATATATGTTTATGGGGTGCTAAATAGTAAGTGCCCTTTCAAACGCTACTTAATGGCTAGGCTTTAAAGTCTTCGTGGAGCACCCTCAGAAAAAAACTAGAGCAGCATGTTTCGCAGATTTCTGTGGCTGCAAACCACCCTGAGATGCTGAATGAACGTGCGCTGAGATCTGTGTACGCCCCACACTCTGTACCCTTAAAGGCATACTGTTCAGAAAGGGAAAGCAGCCCTCTGCCACATAGATTCTTCCATTTGTAGTTTTAATTGGAAAATGGGTGATGGCTCAGCTGTAGTTCCCCCAGAACTTAAGTGACAGTCAATGTCTGGTTCAACATAATAATGGATATACTTCCTGAAGCAATCAAGGAAGAAATATATGTTTGGAAGGTGAATTAGCGTGAGCAATGGCAAAAGCGACAAAATACTTGTGGTGTGAAAATACAGACATAATTAAGAGCATTTATAGGCTAAGTACAGATCTTATAGTATACTGTTGATTTTGTTTGTATTTGTTATGTTAAATGTACTAGTACTCCATGTATGAACAAATAGGCCAAGGACACAGAATGAGAAGTCCAGAAACAGACCAAAAACATAATAATAGACTTTAGCATCTCTAAAGGGAGCATCTCAAATCAGTGGGAGAAAAGATGGATTATTTCATAATTGGCAATGAGATAACTAGCTAGCCATCCGGAAAAAAATCTAAAGTGGCTCTGTATCTCATACCCTGCTCAAGAACAAAGTTTCAATAGGAATAGTAAATGTAAAAAAAAAATCATACGAGTGCTACAAAAATACATGAAAAGATTTCTTTATATTCTTGGAGTAAGGATGAAAGAATAAAGACAGAAGCCATAAAATATTTGTATGATTACATAAAAATCAGAACTTTTACTTGGGAAAATTCCATATGCAAAGTCAAAAGGCAAATTACAAGTTGGGAAAATATTTGCAACTTTTAATACAAGAGAGGATAAATTTCTTAAACACATAAAGAGCTCCTAGAAATCAATAAGAAAAATGTCAATACCCTAAAAGAAATATGGACAAAATATCTAAATGGAAGACTATAGGAAAAGAAATACTATTGGCTCTAAAATACATGAAAAGATATCTCACCTCACTAACAACAGAATTTAAATTAAAACTGCAGAGTGGTACTATTTTTTACCTATCAGATTGGCAGAATTTCAAAAGTTTAATATTATCTTTTGCTGGCAAGTTTTGGGGAAACAGATACTTTTGCACCCTGTTGACGGGGGTGTGCAAATTAGAACAACTCCTACAAAGGGCAATTTGACAATTTTCATCAAATTCACAAATACAAATACACTCTTTAACTTAGAAAGTTCACTTCCGGGATTCTATTTTTCACATATATTTGCTTCTATAAAGATGACAAATACACAACATTATTTGTTATAAGAGCAAAATATTGAGAACAACCTAAATGCCCACCAATAGAGATTGATTAAATAAATCATAGTACATTTATACTATGCTATTATACAAAGAAGGGGTAAGATCTCTGTTTTGATATGGAAAGACAGCCAAATATAGTGGTAAGTGACAAGTGCAGAACAAAGTGACAAGCATGCTACCATTGTGTATGCAAGAGGTAAAATAAGAATCTCTATTGCTATTTTCTGATATTTGCATTAAGAAATTCTGGAAAAATACAAACAAATCTAACAACAATGCTTATATGTGGAGGATTTAGAAAGAACCAGATGGATTTCAGGGGTGGGAAGGAAACTTTTCGTAGTAAATCTTTTCATTTAAAAAAATGTTTTAATCATATTTGACCAAATAGTACCAACAACTTAAAACTTTGTATCATTAAAATAATTAAATGAAACAGTTAAATACAAATTAAATTAAATCATTCCAAAATCGAATAAAACAAATGATAAAGTTTATAGTGAAAAAAATTACACCAGTACTAATGAGAGCAAGTGTATGTCTACTAATGCAATGATGAAAGAAGATTAAGCGCAGGTTTTTTATAGGAACTGTTATTAATTTGGTCCTTGTCTAAGAGATGTCCCTTCCTTTATCACATATCTATACATATATCTATGCTATGTATCTATTTTCTGGTTTAAAACTCTGGAAAATTGAAAGTTAAATTAAAAAATAATTATTTTGATTAGCTTCAAAGAATTTTTTAAACCATTTGAATAAGTTTTCCTTGTAGCCAGCTCTAATCTTTAAAAAATTATTTCCACATTCCCTAAGTAGAAATTGACCCTAATGCAATCTTACCACCAAAATAAAATCTGCCTAACTCTTAATTCTGCTTCAGTCTTAAC